CACCGCCTGCTATACCAATTACAAAATCAAACTTTAAGAGCTTTGCTAAGTGCTCAGGCCTGTGATACACATAGACCTTGCAATCTAAGTGTTTGAAATCAAACAGGAGAGAGAACACATGATTTAGAAAGTTTTATTTTTTTGGACCCAATTCTACTAGTGATTCCCCAAAGGTGGGCAATCACTTAATATTTCTTCCCCTTCAGTTTCTCAATTATAAAACTAGGGAATCAATGATACCTGAGTTTTTATCTCAGGTTAAAATTTGCAAATATTCCAATAATGCATCTAAAATATAATGAATTACCTGGGACTAATGGTTAAATGCAGATTTGATTCCATAGGTCTGGGGAGAGGCCTGAGAGTTTACATCTCTAACAACTCCAAGGTTGTGGTCCCAGGCCTACGCTTTTGAGTGCCAAACTCTAATATACATGATCTCATTTAATTCCCCCAAATATCCTCTAATATAGCTCTCCTTAGCCTTATTTCACTGACCCAGAAGTGACTTGTGTCTAGGGTTACACCGATTAAAAAGTGGCAAAGCAGGAATCTCAACAAGGTCTTTTTACTTGTCATTTCCAAGATGTTTAATGTCCCTTTCAGTTTTAAAATGCTATAATTAGAAATTATTGCCACATTCATATAAAGTGAACAGAATCACAAGATTGATAAAGATAAGCTGCTAATGAAGTTCAGAAGAAGGGATTGCTTTATATAGGGCAGGGGCCTGGGAGTCAATGAAGAAATCACAGAGGAGATTTGCCATCAGCCTTGAAGGATAGTTAGAATGAAGGTAAGTTAAGATGGAGAGAATGTAAAAAAATAGGTAAGCATAACATGGCATGATCAGAGCATATGCCAGTATAGACAAAACCTGTGAGGAGGGCAGGACAGGCCTCATGAATTTTCTTTTCTTTTTTTTCTTTTCTTTTTTTTTTTTTGAGACACAGTTTTGCTCTGTCGCCCAAACTGGAGTGCAGTGGCATGATCTCGGCTCACCGTGACCACCCTTTGCCAGGTTCAAGCGATTCTCCTCATTCATAGAACATGACAGTTAGTTGCTTATTGCTATCCATGTTACTACTTTGTTTTAAGAGTTGGATAAAGTTTGATGAGTAGAATGACCTCTCTTTCTAATTTGCTTCTCCCAAGTGGATCTCCTGAGAACAGCTTTGGGACCCCCAACCTCAGGCTCTCCATGCATCTCTTGAGGCGTTCTGTAAAATGCCAGCTGTATGGTATGTGCCCACAGAAACAACAAGTTAATTCTCTCTTTTTGAAATTGTGACTCCCACTCTCCCCCAGTTCTTCTAAAGGTTTCCTTTTAAAGAAAAGCCATGGTTCACTGCCACTGAAAATCAAAGACAACAGCATAAAGGTCAAGGTCCAGGCTGGTGCTAGCGATGACAGAACATTAAAATAATCACTCAAATTTCCTTCCTTGAAAATTGACAAAGACTACTAATGGAAAGCCAGTCCCGAGGATGCAGACTCATTTCAGAATTTTTGCACTTGTAGCTCTTCGTTCAAAAATTATTCTGATTAAAATGAATGGGAAGTGTTGAGATAAAACAGGAGACGTAATGACATACCAAAAAAATAAAATTGTATGTGCCTCCCCCATTCCATGACATAACATAGAGTACCTACAAAAACAGGTGGGCTTATTAGGCAAAGGCTAATTTACAAGGTTGAAAAGAAAAGGAATTAATCGATTCTTCACTCCATCAAGCTTTACTTCTGGCCTAACTACACCAAGTTTGCTCCACCAGCTCCTCTCTTCTACCTCCCCTTAGTTCCAGATTATGTTTGGTCATCAGATTCATAACTCATGTACCCCAGACTTCCTTCCCATTTGCTGAATCCATATTTTCAAGATTCTTATATTTTCTTACCCCAAACTGGAGGTCTGGCCTCATGTTGGCATGATGACTTGGGATGGTGTTCTTGATGCCCAACTTTCAGTACTAGACTTGCAGCTATAGCAGTTCAGCTAGATGAGTTCAGGTTCCTTCCCCAGACAAACATGGAAAACGTCAAGCGTATATTCAAAGCATATAAAGTAACTCTTATCCAATATACAGCATTTAAGAAGTTTGCCAACTGAAATATATGGTCACTGTAGAAGAAGAGACTGATCCAGTACACATAATAGCCACATTATAACCTGATAAATCAGATATTCTCAAAAGACTTGTAAAGAGATACAAGAGAACAAACAGGAGGAATGGGAAGACTTTAGGTGAGCTTTTCTTTCTTTTTTTTCCCTTTTTAGTTCATTGGACACTTAGAGGCATGAAATTAAAACTCGTGAAAAACATATCGACTTGCTGTGGTGACTTAAAAGTTGTCGTTTCTCTACTCAACTTTGCTGAAACACTTGATTCATGTTGTTCTTATTTAACCTAATTTGCATTGATTTAATCAGGGCTGGTATGCTTTAAATACATAATAAATTGGAATTCTGCAACTTAGATGACTTAGAATAGCTAAATTTCAATAAAGCTCATTTCAATCTGTTAATGTATACGGTTCTGCCAAGGGGTTTAAAACTAGAAAAGATGAAAACTTACCACATTAAAGGTGGGAAAGGCTTAAAGATACTATATAGATGAAACGATTTGCAGGATAATAATGCAAAAGGCAATATGTGTGTGTGTGTGTGTGTGTGTGTGTGTGTGTGTGTATGTGTATATATATATAATTTATTTTAATTACAGCCTAGGAGCATCTTCTAAGTTCTGAGTAGCACACTTAGAAGAAAACTCACATATAAATCAGTGAATTTAATTTTATTTCCTTTCTTTCTTGCCAACACTCAACTCTTCTGCCTCGCTGTACCAGCTCTACAAATCAAGTGACATCCAAAGTGGGACCTCTTCTTGCCCATTTGGCAGCCTCTGTCACCACTTTGCCAAGCAACCTGCATTAGGAGGATTTTTTTCCCCCCTAGCAGCCCTGGGGATTGGGTGGCGCATACTCACAGTTCTCGCTGAATGGCTGGCGGCTGTTTAACTCTGCCTGCGCCTGCTCAACACCCCTCCCCCACCTCCCAAGCCTTTAGCGTTTATGGCTCAATCAGCTGGCCTGCTGTCAGGAATAATTGTCTTGGCAAGAGGTGAAACCACTTGATGGTGAATTTGTCTGTCTGTTAAAGTGTTCCGCAGCACCTTGGAGGTGCCAGGATGAAACCTGCAAATGCCCAATCCAGAATTAGGTAAGTAACAAGAGTGACAGAGAGGCAACCATCAAGAATGGCAAATAAATAAATTGCACTTTGAGGAGGAATAGTAAAAAAAANAAAAAAAAAAAAAAAAAAAAAAAAAAAAAAAGAGGAAGAAGAAGAAAGAAAGAAAACCATCTGTGCGTCTGTGCCAGCTACAAGCTGTATGACCTTGGATAAACTGTGATGTCTCTTGGCCTCAGTTTCGTCACGTGCAAAATTAAGGGGGTTGATTTTCCAATGTCTCTTCTAACTCCTAAGACAGCATGTGATGTCTAGGACATTTCAGATTTGTGCTCCTTCCAATTAAATGATACATCTCAGAGATGAATGACCAGGACAGAGCTCAGATGAATACAAAATGGAATGATTCATGCCCCTGTTCATATGACTTTTCCTGAAAAGTACCACCAGTCTTTGGTGACTTTGATTCCATTGGTTGATCTCTTCGGCTTAGATGCTAAGGACCAATCCAGTTACTTGTCCAGTCTGTCTACCCAGGCTCTGGTAATCCACCCTCATTCCTATCAAAGTAAGCGCGACTACAGATAATGCCCACTTATTTTGAGTTCCTTAGAGGCAGAAATGATAGGAATTCAAAGAGCGGAGCTGGAGACTCACATTTGACTCTCCCTCTCATCTCCCTGGGCATCTTTGTCAAGAAGGAAGTGTTACCCACACTCACTTCCCACAGGCTTTCTCAGCCATCTTAAGGATTTTGTTTAAACAGATGACCAACTGACCCTCTCCAGGTCAGACTCTCTCCATACCAGTTAGCACAAGGTGTTGTGTGTGGGGGGTGGGAGGTGGATGGGGAGCTCATTGCAAGGACTCCTATCTGTAAATGATTGTGAATAGAAAATAATGAGGCAAAGGTTTCTCTTCACACTTAGAGGAAAAAGTGGCACAATTTAATACAGTCTCAAAGCTTAATTACGGATGTGTGTATGGAGATGGGTAGGCTTCATTATGGCTTAAACTACCATATCCCCACACATTCACAGTCTTCTGGAGTGGAGTTCACTGCAGGGCCCAGTAATCACCATGAACAGCACAAGTCAGGGTTAGCCCTCCCCATGTCAGACAGCAGAATCGTTCTTTAATCCATCCTGTACCCCATAGATATCTGTGGAGCCTGATGAAGCCCCGCGGGGATCTCAGTCTCCCTGTACACAGACATACCTTTTTGCCACACTGGATCTCACACCACAGGGGCTGGGATGGCTTCCCAAACTAGGTGGGTTTGTAAAGCATTTCCCCCATCCACCTCAAAAAAAGTGCTGGCTGACTGCAGAATTCCAGTGCCCGCAAGGGGGGAAAAAAAAAAAAAAAAAAAAAAAAAAAAAAAAAAAAAACCCTTAGCCAAGCCCCAAATCATTGCCCTCCTGTGTCTTCTCTCAAGTTGCTTTTCTAAAGCAAAGGACCAAATGTTGATTTCTCTACAGATTCCTACGTATCTCTTACACGTAGACAGTTTTAAAGGGGAAAAGAATATATCCCCAAAAGGGAAGGGGGGAGAGCACAGACTATTTCAGTTTCCCACTTGGAAATATCTTGTCGCGGATGATGCTACCCCTACCTCCACCTCCCTCCCCCCTCCTTTTTTCTTTTTTTGAAATATGGACAAAAAAGCTGAAAGTGTTTTCCGTTTCATCAAAGAACATATATTACTTTAGTGGTTCGGTAAAATGTTGGTTTTATGCCCACCCCTTTTCAATCTGCCCATGTCTGAGGTGCTCGGGAAAGACGCACAATCGTGAGCAGCTTACGACACTCAGTGAGCAGTAGGTGCCTGTGCAAGCTCGCGCCGCACACTGCCTGCTGGAGGGAAGGAGCCCGGGCGCCGCTCGCCGCTCCCCGCGCCGCCGCCCGCACCTCCCCGCCGCCCGCCGCCCGCAAAGCATGAGCGAGCCCGCTCTCTGCAGCTGCCCGGGGCGCGAATGGCAGGCTGTCTCCGCGGAGTAAAAGGTGGCGCCGGTCAGTGGTCGTCTCCAATGACGGACATTAACCAGACTGTCAAATCCTGGGGAGTCGCGAGCCCCGAGTTTGGAGTTTTTTCCCCCACAACGTCACAGTCCGAACTGCAGAGGGAAAGGAAGGCGGCAGGAAGGCGAAGCCCGGGCTCCGGCACGTAGTTGGGAAACTTGCGGGTCCTAGAAGTCGCCTCCCCGCCTCGCCGGCTGCCCTTGCAGCCCCGAGCCGAGCAGCAAAGTGAGACATTGTGCGCCTGCCAGATCCGCCGGCCGCGGACCGGGGCTGCCTCGGAAACACAGAGGGGTCTTCTCTCGCCCTGCATATAATTAGCCTGCACACAAAGGGAGCAGCTGAATGGAGGTTGTCACTCTCTGGAAAAGGGTGGGTAAGACACTTTTTAATTAAATTCTTTCCCGAAGATTTTTTTTTTCCTCCCTTTTCTTTACTGCAGCATCTAACATGGACCAAATCACCATCTCTTTGATCTTTCCGTGGCTGTGAACTTTCTATGCTGCCCAGCTTTCTGCATGCTTAGAGGTGAACGTGTGGTTTTGGGGAGGGGGGTCCTTCTTTATTTCTATGTATTTATTTGATTTTTTGCCCTTTTCTCCCCCTCCCCCGCTCCCCCTCCCTCGGAATAAAATATGATGTAGATTTCTGACCGAGCGCTTCCAATGGACATTCTCCAGTCTCTCTGGAAAGATTCTCGCTAATGGATTTCCTGCTGCTCGGTCTCTGTCTATACTGGCTGCTGAGGAGGCCCTCGGGGGTGGTCTTGTGTCTGCTGGGGGCCTGCTTTCAGATGCTGCCCGCCGCCCCCAGCGGGTGCCCGCAGCTGTGCCGGTGCGAGGGGCGGCTGCTGTACTGCGAGGCGCTCAACCTCACCGAGGCGCCCCACAACCTGTCCGGCCTGCTGGGCTTGTCCCTGCGCTACAACAGCCTCTCGGAGCTGCGCGCCGGCCAGTTCACAGGGTTAATGCAGCTCACGTGGCTCTATCTGGATCACAATCACATCTGCTCCGTGCAGGGGGACGCCTTTCAGAAACTGCGCCGAGTTAAGGAACTCACGCTGAGTTCCAACCAGATCACCCAACTGCCCAACACCACCTTCCGGCCCATGCCCAATCTGCGCAGCGTGGACCTCTCGTACAACAAGCTGCAGGCGCTCGCGCCCGACCTCTTCCACGGGCTGCGGAAGCTCACCACGCTGCATATGCGGGCCAACGCCATCCAGTTTGTGCCCGTGCGCATCTTCCAGGACTGCCGCAGCCTCAAGTTTCTCGACATCGGATACAATCAGCTCAAGAGTCTGGCGCGCAACTCTTTCGCTGGCTTGTTTAAGCTCACTGAGCTGCACCTCGAGCACAACGACTTGGTCAAGGTGAACTTCGCCCACTTCCCGCGCCTCATCTCTCTACACTCGCTCTGCCTGCGGAGGAACAAGGTGGCCATTGTGGTCAGCTCTCTGGACTGGGTTTGGAACCTGGAGAAAATGGACTTGTCTGGCAACGAGATCGAGTACATGGAGCCCCATGTATTTGAGACCGTGCCGCAGCTGCAGTCCCTGCAGCTGGACTCCAACCGCCTCACCTACATCGAGCCCCGGATCCTCAACTCTTGGAAGTCTCTGACAAGCATCACCCTGGCCGGGAACCTGTGGGACTGCGGGCGCAACGTGTGTGCCCTAGCCTCGTGGCTCAGCAACTTCCAGGGGCGCTACGATGGCAACTTGCAGTGCGCCAGCCCGGAGTACGCACAGGGCGAGGACGTCCTGGACGCGGTGTACGCCTTCCACCTGTGCGAGGATGGGGCCGAGCCTACCAGCGGCCACCTGCTCTCGGCCGTCACTAACCGCAGTGATCTGGGGCCCCCTGCCAGCTCGGCCACCACACTCGCGGACGGCGGGGAGGGGCAGCACGACGGCACATTTGAGCCTGCCACCGTGGCTCTCCCCGGCGGCGAGCACGCCGAGAATGCCGTGCAGATCCACAAAGTGGTCACGGGCACCATGGCCCTCATCTTCTCCTTCCTCATAGTGGTCCTGGTGCTCTACGTGTCCTGGAAGTGTTTCCCAGCCAGCCTCAGGCAGCTCAGACAGTGCTTTGTCACGCAGCGCAGGAAGCAAAAGCAGAAACAGACCATGCATCAGATGGCTGCCATGTCTGCCCAGGAATACTACGTTGATTACAAACCGAACCACATTGAGGGAGCCCTGGTGATCATCAACGAGTATGGTTCGTGTACCTGCCACCAGCAGCCCGCGAGGGAATGCGAGGTGTGATTGTCCCAGTGGCTCTCAACCCATGCGCTACCAAATACGCCTGGGCAGCCCGGACGGGCGGCGGGCACCAGGCTGGGGTCTCCTTGTCTGTGCTCTGATATGCTCCTTGACTGAAACTTTAAGGGGATCTCTCCCAGAGACTTGACATTTTAGCTTTATTGTGTCTTAAAAACAAAAACGAAATAAAACACAACAACAACAACAACAAACCCACCCCACAACCTTCAGGACAGTCTATCTTAAATTTCATATGAGAACTCCTTCCTCCCTTTGAAGATCTGTCCATATTCAGGAATCTGAGAGTGTAAAAAAGGTACCAATCATTGATTTTTTTTTTTTTTTGTAAACTAAAATGTTTAAAATAAAATAGCATTTACAGTTTTTACAGACTGGTGTAACCTAAATGAATTGTTAACTATGTTACAAGAAAAGCAACAGTTAAAATCTGGGGGAGGTGGGGTGCAGAGGGGAGTTGTCCAGAGGCCAGAGGGAAGATCCAGGAGCAAAGTAGTCAGATTCAATTTGAAATTTTAAAGAAGGGCAAACAAAGCTTATTAGATTAATGATTTATGTTAATATACTCCACGTGAGTAAGGACTGGAAAAAAGAAAAAGAGCAGGACCCTTTATATTATTGGGGCAGAGACAGTGCAATCTAACCACCTTCAGGCAAGTGAGAGGTGGACTGAGGACTGGGCATCATTGCTCAGCCTTTAAGGCAGAGAGCATTGCAAATGGCTTTTAAAAGGCAGTGCCAGACAGTGTAACCAGTGTAACCTTAACATAACCATCTTTCAAATCAGATCAGAATCTCATCCCCAAATACCACCTGTTCTTAATTCTCCTGAGTCTTTGATTCACCAGACACAGTAGCATTTGTGCCCTTCCCATACCCTCCTGTGTTAAAGGGAACCCCTCAGCTCACTGCTGGCTGAGGGTAAGCAGGCGGAATCCCGATGTTCAGGGCTGAAAGCTGTGCTTCTGGAGCACATTGCTAAGACTGCAGCAAGCTTAGGCTCCCATCAGTGACAGCACATTCCTAGTTTCTATGGGGAATGAGGAGAAAAGCCTACCTCAGGATGAATGCCTGCAGGGTAATGACTTGTAGCAAGAGACTTCAGGGGCAGAGGTGACAGAGCTGTGATGGGGGTGGAAAGAGTGGGAGAAGATAATCATTTGATCCTGTGTTTGCATATTTCTGAGATGGGAATAATTTGTTAGCCCGGGACAAAAAAAAAGCTGCCTCTTCTCAGATTGCCCTTTTGTATAATGCTTGCTTTCCCTGTTTCTTTCTTTTTTTCTTTTTTCTGTGTCTGGATTGATGATTGCTCCTTCTCACCTCTCATAGGTTTCCAGGTCCATCATTAAGATTTCAGTTTCTGTTGAACTAAGGGTGAGGAGGTAGTGGCAATGGCAGTGGGTGGGTACAGAGAAGGGAAGGGGAAGGCTGTGTGCATTGGACGGAGGGGGTCCTTCATCAGATGACAATTTAAGCAAATGTATGATTGAAATAAACTGTCGTGAATGACAGGCACTGAAAACTGAACCAATGCAGCTCATGTCCCAAAGTCTTTCTCTTCCTTCTCTAACTGATACTAAAGACTTACATCTTTCTGTTTTTATTTTTCCTTTTTTAAGAGTGAAGCCCAAATAACAGGAAGAGGGATGAGGGGTGGAGAACCACACACTACCATCCCCCAAAATGCAAATCCCTCCAGCTGCCAACCTTAGGAGGCAAAATCAGCTTTTTGAAATGCAGAATGGCATCACCAGAAGGTTTCCTTAAGCTAAGGGTTGGTGGTAGGTTTCTTTTCTACCTATGGAGAAACCAGTATGCCTAAAAATAGTGCTTCTAAGAGTCTCTTTCTTTCAAGAGAAATATTTTGCAAATGTCTTTTAAGATGTTAAGCCCTGGGAGACAGCTTCCTACACACACACACACACACACACACACACACACACACACACACACCACCCTAGCTCATTTTTCCTGACCAGGAAGCTTCATCTTGCTTTATTTATAAATAAAACATGACAGTATAGCACACATCATGCACATAAAACCCATTCAGACTGTTAGTGTTCTGGAAGAGTGGTGCTTTGTTTGATAACTTTGAGGAGGGGGTTTTGGATTTAGACTAAGCATAATCATTTGGGTCTGCCTTTCTAAATAGCATATCACTCCGAGAGCAGGGGTAGCAGGAACAAGGTTCTCTCAGGGATGCACTTCACCTCTATATTTAAACCCTACTAAAGCGACCTCCTCTAGAAGACAGCATACCTTTTTTAGGAGAAAAAAAAAATGTAGCAACTGAAGGAGAGCTCCTTGGATTCCGTGAACTTAACCATCTCATAGGAAGGCTACAGGAATCCAGCGCCTAAAGCTGCTCTGGCTTGGTGCATTAAAGAGCTGTGTGGGTGTGCTTATAGGGAAAGCTTCCAGAAGCAAAACCTTCCTGGCAAGCATCAGAACCACAGGTCCCCTCCTACCCTCTAGAAATCTGAATCTTGGAAACTGTAGTTTATCTCCTATCCCCAAGACAATTTTATCTTTCACTCTTCTTGTTTCAAGGTGGACATAAGAAAGGGAGAGAATAATCATGCTTTGTTTTATGCTACTCCCACCACCCTGCCCATGACTAAGTATCATGTATGTAGAAGATCTTAAGTCTGTGCACATTTCATGAAGAACCATTGGAAAGAGGAATCAGCAATCTGGGAGCTTAAGAGAAAATGATGACCATAGGAAGCTATGTTCTTACTTGGTGTGCGTGTGTCTGTATGTTTCTGTGTTGTGTGTCTTTGCAGGCAAGCAAATGTTTTCTACACAAACAGGAATTTAGCTCACATCATTTCATGCCCATGTGCCTCTAGCTCTGGAGAATGGTGGGGGGGAGGGGGTGGGGGGGAACGGTAAGAATAAGGGAAAGCGGTAGTTTTAACTAAGGTTTTGTAACACTTGAAACCTTTTCTTTCTCAAATTAATTAATCTTTAAGCTTCAAGAAACTTGCTCTGACCCCTCTAAGCAAACTACTAAGCATTTAAAAGAGAATCTAATTTTTAAAGGTGTAGCACCTATTTTTTTATTCTTCCCACAGAGGGTGCTAATCTCATTATCCTGTGTTATCTGAAAAGAACTTAAGGCCACACTTCACGTCTCATCCTGGGCATTGTGATGGATTGACCCTCCATTTGCAGTACCTTCCCAGCTGATTAAAGTTCAGCAGTGGTATTGAGGTTTTTCGAATATTTATATAGAAAAAAAGTCATTTCACATGACAAATGACACTCTCACACCAGTCTTAGCCCTAGTAGTTTTTTAGGTTGGACCAGAGGAAGCAGGTTAAATGAGACCTGTCGTTTGCTTCACCCAGAAAGAAAAGGCAGTCCCTGATGCTCAGATCTTAGCCTTGCCATTAATAGTTGAGACCACCTACCCCACAATGCAGCCCACACTCCCAAGACTGCAAAGTTACCATCACAAAGAAAAGGTTATACCAGTAAAAGGAAATAGTCTTTTAAACCATTTAAAAATATTCTTCTGAGCTCATCAAAGTATAAGAGTGCCCTACCTTTTCTCTCTGCCTTCAAGAAGGCAGACATTTGGTATGACTTAGCATCAACAACACATTTGTGAATACGTGTAAGTCATTAGAGGGGCAAATGCCACTTGTTATTCCTCCCAAGTCTTCCAAGCAACTACACACAGACCTCTCATAGCATTAGGGGTCACCTGTGTTTCTGGCTTATTTTAGTCAACTTGTCAGCAAGTTTGATGCCTGGTCTATCTGACATGTCCCAGTAGAAGAGGACATTGATGGATCACGTGAGATGATAAAAGGAACGTACATACCCTTCTCACAGAGAAAATTATCAAAGAATTAAAAATTATATCTGTTTTGGAGCAAGAAGATCATAATGTTTCAGGGTAGTCAACATAAATATCAATTATCTCCTCTAGATGAGTGGTAATGTTAGTTGATTTGGGTCAGCCATTGACAGAATGTCAAATAACAAGGAATTCGCTAGAATATGACCATTAAATAGGCTTCTGAAATATATTTTGAGAGAGGTTTAGGGATTTACGCACACACTCTTACCTCTCAATCTATTTCTGTATATGTAACAGCACACACACAAACATGCACACCTATATGTGTGTGTCTATGTATATGTCTATAAAACCATATACAACCACACACATACATATATAACCACACACACACACACACACACACACATGCAGGCAGGTGGCCACATTATGTAATTAGTGGCCTTCTGTCACTAATTACGCTAATACTTTCTCCTTGATAATCAAACTTTTATTCAGGAAATGATCTGATAAAATCTGTGACGGTTAATACATAATGGATTGATACGGCTGGTGGTATTTTCAGGCATTAGTTAATGAGTAGGTAGATGCTTTGCAGGCTGGGGAGCTTTCGGGCTCCTTATGCCATGGCAGAGTGTAACCTTCTGTCTAGTGGAAAGAGCCAGCAAATGAGAATATATTTTTTTGAGGATTTTCCACCTCAGGGTTAAGATACATACTTTTTCAATAAGGAATGCTCTATTTTTTTTTTTTTTCTTTTCTGGGATTCAGGAGGCAAAATTCTTACTTCTGATTGGGCGTCATCTCCTGGCTTTGCTCAACTGAACACAATTTCTGAAACTCTTTGGTTTTTTACTCAAAGCAAAGGTCCTGGCTATTGTATTCTTACAGTTTAGACAAAGATATAAATGAGATGGAGAAATAACATTTACTGAGCAGTCCCTGGTATGGTGCCTCTACCTAGATCATAGTAAGTGAGGGAGCTGCTAGCAACTTATCTTCACATGAAGAACCCGAGGCTTACAGAGGTCAAGTACACTGTGCAAAGCCAACCAGCTAGGGATTGGGAGCACTGTGATGTGTTAATTGGCTTGGTAGTCTTTCACTACTCCCTGTTTCTTTATTCCTTGAATGGTTGCCCCTCCACTTCTGCACCTAGCAAAGAACCTGGAACTAGATTGGGAACAGGAGACATGGTCAACACATTCTTGTTGAATGCCATGGGCACAATGCCCCAATCCAGGAATTCTGACCATGACTTGTTTGCTCTGGTGACTGGTAATTGGGCAATGCAGGGCTTTGCTAACAGAGGAGACTTCTCCAGGTTCCAGGGGAAGAAATGGCCAGTACATTCAGTTCAACCTCTTAACATAGGATTTTGGACTCGGAGAGAGTAAGGTGTAGACATCCATATGTTATTGTCAGGGATTTATCTGCATTTCTTCCTTGGTGATTAAATGGATCACGTGTCCATGGTATGGTTCTCAACCAGGGGCAGATTTGCCACCTAGTGGACATTTACGTGTTTGTGTCTGGAGACACTTTTAATGTTT